GAAGACGAATAAGCGCAAATCTGGTGATGTGGTTAGCAGATTACGGGATATTGTTTTGAAAGCGAATCACTTGTCAGCAATCGAGGGTTTTAAATGTTTTTTAGATCTACCTAATACTAGCTGGATAGTGTTGTGGAATTCCCATCCATAAATATTACATTTCCGCGGGAACAGGAGGGGAATTTTGTTTGAGTATCTGCTTGACACTTTGAAATGACTCTATGCAAGCAGAGCAATGCAGGAGGAATAATGCATAAGTCAAGATACCACCTGCAACACATTCCACTGAATGGGTTGAGGGATCGGGTGAGAGGAGTCAAAGTGATACATGAGAGGAACTTTTGCAGTGCGGATATAGGATGGATTTATGTGAGAAGCAGTAGAAAATGCAACAGTTTGGTGCTCCAGATGATCTTACACATATTTTATGATGCACAGAAATCGGACAAGATGATTCTTTGCCAATATTCCACTGCCACTGTTACCTTTACTTAAATGTGACCATGCAGATTTGAGGAGAGGGTAATACTTGACAATCGCAGTCGTTGTAGGTGCCCCAAATTGTAGGCACTTCCCAAGGAAAAACAAAGTAGTTTTGCAATTAAGGCGAATTCATTTTGTTTAGTCATGCTAAAGCTGCTTAAACAAACTCTTTTCAGGAAAGGACTTTACATGGCTTTTGGAAATTAAATATCATGCAGGAGATTAAAACAGGTGGAGATAATGTAAAGGATCTCAGCAAATTCAAGTGAAATAGGCCCAAAGCTTGGTTTCTAATGTAACTGCCTCGAGTCTTTTGATTGTCACTGTTAAAAGTGACATTTGCCAGATCCCACTGAACAGAACTGCAATGGCACCTTCATACAGCTTTCCATAGTTTTAGATAGCCAACCCTTTCTTCAATTTTAGCTACCTATAAGAGTTTTAAATTTCTTCAATCTGGACAAATTTCGGGTCAGTTTATAATTGTGAGTGTAGCCTAATTTATCGGATTAAATGAGACTGCAGGTGATTCAAACCGCCTCTGGCACACAGGTATAAAAGCAGCTCAATCATTTGGAGGACTAAATTAGTAGGGCCATGAACAGTAAGGCGAGACCCCACAATATGATCCTAGAGGCTGCAGCCTGAGACTAATAAGTCTTGCAGCAATATTTGTTGAAAAGCACAATTCTGCAATAAGGTAGCCACGCAAAAGCATTCGCTGCAAAACCAAAACCAACTCTTCTCGAAGTTGTTTAGTCAATAGATATTAAATGATGTTACGAATCAAAAGTGTAGGAGGAAATCAGTGATTTCATCTACATGGTTATGATGGCTTATCTAATATCGCAACTATGCATAAATGGTTTTGCTTTAAAAGGTAGTATCATTTTTGGTGCTTCAGAAAGAGACGTGTCTAAAATGTTTTAGACATCGGCATTAGATTAGTTGTTAAGTAAAATTAATACCTTTATCTTTTATTTCAAAATTGTCAAGCAGGTATCATTTATCTTACACATTATATATTGTAATGAAGGAAATTCATCCATCACCTTGATAGATGTTAATTTGCATTTACATGGTTAAAATTATAGCTGTAACGCTTTTCTTAACTTCTTGTTTTGATTTCGCGAGCTTTTAGGGCTCTGTTTTTGTACTTTCACCAAAAAATAAATGCCCTTAGGACCAAACCAGTGGTCCCTCAGCCCTTCTGTACGTTGGCAGTACGCATCCTGTCCTGATACTAGACTTCTTTCGTCGTCAAAAAAGACTCTCAATGCTACAATAAATATTAGTTTTATTCAGTGCCGTTTGTAAACTACCCATTAAAAAGAGGACCAGAGGGATAAAGGACACTAATGATAAATTGTTACAAATATGTTAAGCGACTTAGGAGTAAATCATACCTCCAAACAGACCTGTTGCAGTCGAGTTCTCAAACTTCCACCACCAATGAATTACGCATATGTTTCGTGCCACTCGAGTGCGAGGGAGAAAAAGTACCCACAGAGGGGTGTGTGATAGCTATTTTAGAGTACGTAAATTTAAAATGCAGAAACTGCGATGAGACTTTCACAGCTGCGTAGGCAGAAAACGCCATTTTTGCAAGACATCACGAGTGAATAGACTGGCTGAGAACGCACACCGTAAAGCGTTTAAATAAAACCTTGAGCAGTTTCTGGTAGTGTTAGACGAAACAGAAACATAAGAATATACCAGCGTCTATAACGTAAAAGTTTTTTTTATTATTACTGATGCCAAATTGTGTATGACATTAAATATTTTCTGACTTACTTTTGGACATATCATACTAATATAGAGATATTCACAATTAAGTAAAGGCTTTATGTGTAGAGGTTGCAAAACGGTAGATCTGCAAGGCCTCTCTGAAGTTGTACTAAGCCATGGCATGATGGGAGGTGTATTTTAATACACTGTCTCTTGAATACACTCTTGGGTGACGGGCGGTTAGTTTAGGTCCGTTACGTGACCAAACTAGCATCAGCAACTACTGAGGAGTATACCAACTCCAATTTCCTTAAAACTTTGATAACTTGTAAGCTTTCGGCATCCTTTTGGGCTTAAAAGTGCCTTTTCTATTCAAACTTCCCTGTCATAGGGTATGAAACCAGAGTAGAGGACGATAGGCGTTGAAGGTGTAGCGTGTAGCGCAACGGCATCTGCGTGATACGAGGAGCTCACGCAGAGGGGTTATTAAGATTAACTGAAGTAAAATAAAATTTAGCTATAATCTAGTCTTTTGGTTAGTTTTGAAAAGGTATGTTTTAGTTGATAAAGACAAGCGAGTTTGTTCGGAAATTTAATAGATGTATATGGAAGTCATCCACAGCTAACGGACTAAAATAGAAAAGACAAGCTGGAAACGTTAATCTGCTATAATTTTCAATTTTTAGTGTATGGAGCTGGGTTTAGACACGATGAACAAGAAATCCACCAGTTCGAGCATATTCCCTTGTAAGATGTCTTAGAAGAGGCGAAAAATTAAGGGTATTCTTTTGGTCTTAGTAGTTTTTCTCATTACCATACTCTTTTGCCTCTTTAAGCAGCGTCGATAGCAGCATTTTAAGAAAGTACCAGACACCATTAATTCTGATTAAAACATCCTTAAGCCACCTTGTTTGCAGTTTCAATCCATTATTAAGTTAAATAAGTTTTTACAGTCTGAATTCTAAAATTGCACTAATTTAAGTCTATAACAATTCATCTTTAGTGATAAAGACGTGTACGCGATGTAAGCATCGATGTTTATTCATTCGAACAGGCCTTGGTTATTTGTTATCAAGCCGAAGTAACGATTCTAGGAGAATCTGGAGATCCAGTGATAGGGGATAAAAAGAAGTGTCAGAAGATGTAAATCACTTTCCACTTAAGCAGATTCATTCCCTCAGAATTCGGTTGAAGAATTTAAACGAACAAACAGATTTGAAAGCACTATCAGAACGGACGATCAAAAATTGTAGTCTAATAGCTCCATCGAGGCTTCCAGAAATTGAGCACCTTCTCAAGTATCTTCGTGACAGGACGCCTAAAGCAGTCGCTGCAGGTAAAATTGGCAAATTTTTGAATTCCTGTGCTTGTTATCGGTCTCATTTAGTTTGTGTAGCTTGATTAAAACTAAGGGATAGACGATTGTGGGTGGTCAGGGCATTGCTGCTCAGCCAATTACAAATATTTGGGATCTGCTAGGCATAAACAACAGATACCTGAAAAGTCCAAGTTGTTTATTGCATATTAGCAATTTCTCCACAAAGCAGCTAATGTCATCCATACCTCGCCAAACACTCCCTTCTATCAGAAATCGAAGCAATCACGTCAAAGACTATGTATTCTCACAGGAATCAGTAAAAGCTACGGTAGTCAGTGTTCAATTACTTTGAGAAACCAGTAAATCTTGAGTTGCATCTATTGAATGAATCGCACATTTCTTACTGCACTGCATAATTTTTTGACACATCATCAATAAACACAATTTTTTGTGTTTTGATGTATGGGTACAATATTCTCTAGATAAAAACAAAGGCATTGAGGAATTAGCTGGTCTCCTAGCATTCGCTCAGCCTTTGCTCATTCGACTAATACTGCGTCTGTTGTACAATCTTTTCTTCAATCAAGACCTACTACCTTCGATGAGGGTTCAAGTGCAGGAATCGCATACTTATCCCAATCCTATTCACCTCTGTAGCAGTAGTAAGGCATGGCAATCTGGAAGTCGATTTATTATTAGCTTACAGAAGAGCTGAGACACCGGAACCCCATACAGGATGCTATGCCAACGCTTGCAAAACCCCATTTTACAGCCTATTCCCCTTTTACACTTTAGCAGGTATTTCCAGTGAATGTCATGTGAGGGAACAAAAGTGGAATGATGAAGGCTGCAATGCATTTAGAGACTTCCTAGATTATTTAGCAAAGTGTCATTAGTAAGATCCATTTGTCAATTCCTACCTGGCGGATTGATCTGAAAAATTAATTTAGTAGAAGTGAAGTTTAAACCACCTTCTAAGGCGTGTTTGCTCAGATGTCATGAAGTTTATTAACACTTCTTTTTTCTCTGATTCCTACTTAAACCACACATGCTTTTCATTCTCCCGTCTTTCAGTCTTAAGGTGATATCATGTGTTGCTACTGCTATTGAAGCCTTCCACTTTTTGTTATCTTGCTTTTTAAATTTCCTAACTAAACTTCTGGGGCTTTCTTGATTCTCTGAATTACCATTTTTGTATCTGCTTATAATTCACAAATAGCGCCAACTAGATTAACGATATGAGTCTGTTTCGATGAGTGTTTTTGCCTTATATTTTTACAATGCATTCAAGATATACTAAAAAATGCCTGGAAAGAGGATGGTCCTCCCTTCGAAGGCCAGCTATTTTACCTTAGCAGCATCCTGGTGGAGTCCTCGAGCCAACTTTCGACAAGGTAGCTTCAAATTTGGTCGGTGAAATAATTGTTACTCAAGCTCCCTATGGCATGTTTAGCTCTTATAGATGCTGTTGGGTTTAGCAGCGTCCTTGCCGTTGCCACTGCCAAAGGGCTTTATTGTTCCGATAACACATAACACTTTTTGCTTTAAAACATCCTTCTTGGACTAATTTACATCTTTCTAGTTGTGTAACACACTTCTTGGGCAAGCTCAGGTAAAAAAATGGAGTACCTATATAGGAGGTTGGAATCGGTGCTGATATAAAACACTAGATCATGTTTTTTTAAAGCTTTCACACCACAAAAATTTGGGGCTTATTGGTGAGATGCTGGGTGCTTAGGTCAAGATCCAAGGTTTATATTTTACATCTGCGTTACTCAATTTTCTTGATAGACAGCAATACCTAGCTCAACTTCATTCTTCCCAAAGTCGAGTTCCTGACTGACAGATGATTGGGAATGATGGTCCTGGTACTGCATGGTTTAAAGACATTAATGCATAGCCAGGATTACAAGCTGTTTGTGCGTAGACCGTGGCATGCATTAACTGTAGTAGTGACACATATTGTGAATGATTAGAGACTGTGAAAATGGAGGGGGAAAACACACGTAGCGCATACTCAAAAGCCCGCCATATACATTCGTTCAAAATGTGGGTAAACTGTCATTAAGTGTTTTAATGTGGCGCAGTAGACCATTAAAAAGAGCTTTGAGGCTACTAGCATGGAGAGGAATGCAATCTATGAGTACCTGTGCATCCAAGTAGTTAAATGTAGTGTAATACAATGGTGGTATATCCCTCGGTATTGGTGAGGGGCCACTTTTGTACTTTGAATTAGCTCTCTTGTACCTTGCTGGACGAGCTGGCCTTTCGGACCATGCCAATAGCCCAGACACCTTCTCTGCGCTAAATATATATTCTGCTCGAGTATTTTGTCTTCTTTCGTCTTCAGGGAGTCTCGGGACGCTACGGTAGCCTCATCATCGTAACAGCTTTACCGAAAGAAGGGTAATTTTAATAAAAGGCAAAATCTGCCATAAAATTGGAGAGACAAATAAGTAACGTGTGGATCCAAAACATAAGGATGATTATCAAATGCACACTTACTCTAACCAAGGGCGTATTCCATTTTCAAGTAAACTCATGACATTTGAGAAATGAAGAACCTTGACAATATTACAAGCTGCTTGTCAAAATGCAGTAAGAAAAATATTAAACTCGTTTTTGACATACGAATGAATGTGGTTTTAATTTCTAAGATTACGGGTATATTTTCCAAGGCCGATCGTTCACTTTTCGAAAATGTTGACAGCAGCTCACGGGGACGGTTTCAGGTAAATGGTGCTTAAGCACCTAGTGTAGTTTCTAACTCTTCCATAATGTTGACAGAAAATTGTGTGTTAAAAATGTTTAACAGCATTTTTTACTTAGATACCTTGCACTTTTGGCACTTCTTGTTTGAAATATTGCATCAACTTTTAACTACGTCTATATCTATTCACGCAAAATAACATCACTGTTTACCACTCTTTGATAATCCTACGATTCTGTTTTTTGACGAAACCGGTCGTTACAACGATTTTCAGTCCCTTTTATGCATGGTTTGTCTCTCATGAATATCCTTTGGTCTTTCCGTTCTGCTAAGATTTTATCGAATCAGCCTTAATAAGCCTGCTTAAAGCAAAATTCCATAGCCCTATTTTTTGTTATTCTATGTAATTGTTCTCCACTTTTTAAAATGATTTGCTAAAAGATGTAGGCTAAAACTCATCAGAGAAAAATATTTGGTTAAATATTGCTCTTAACGCCGTTTTTAAAAACCTGGATCGCTTGGTTCAAATTTAGTTTTTAGTGATTTTAGCAACAGTTTGAACTTTTACATACTCGACAAGTCACTTCAAGATGATTATAAATTTTTTTCCATATTTTAAGGCATGGTATTGAATCAGTGCAATATGAACAAAATACTATCGGCCGTCTTCATGCTTATGCTGATCTAGTCCAAAGAAGGCCTTTACAACCTGGATTAACTTTTACCTTAAGCCCGCACGCGGTCTATTTATGAGTCCCATGACATATTTGAGTGTAATTTGGAAGTAAAGAATCTCTACACTGATTTGAGTGATGAAAAGCGCCTGATGAAACTGCTCGAGGCCATTTCTGATTTTTTTAACTTCTAGGCCTTAGATGAACTTCAGAATCTACCTCGTCGTCTTCCAAGCTGTGTAGACGCTGAAAACTTCCCGAATCCCTAGAAACGGGCTCAAGAATTGAATGATCGTCTGTTGATTTTGCAGAGTAAGTCAATCACAGATAAGTAATCAGTGGACACGGAGATGGCAAAGTGAGCAGGTAAGAATCATTAAGGAAGTGGGGCAAGAGTTGATCAATAAAGGGATAAATAGAGCCAATGCAAAGCAAAAAAGGATTTATAAAAGTCGAAGGGGTTATTTAATTGTATAGAAAAGATGGGAAAAAGTGAGATTGAGACGTTAAGAACCTCCAAACAATTCAGTGAGTTGAAAGAGGGAATGACGGTTGAAGATGTGTGCAAGGTCGTAATTGACAACCATCTTGTGTGAGAGATCCACCGTTGCATCGGCTCGAATCAGTGGTCCAAGTGCCCCTCTCTCACCCCGATGGCACAGCGTAGAATTGCCGAAACGGAATGACGTGAGACCAGTTCTCCCCGTGAGGCGGGCCCATTCGTGGGGCTTGATGAAGGAAGGCCGGTTCACCACTCGTACGAAACTCGATATGTCGCCTCTAGGAAAAAAGACAAAGCTCACTTTCCTTAATCTAGCTAACCATTTGGACGAAGGTAAACTCATGCATCGCAGTGCCGTGGAGGTGAAATGTCACATTACTCGTGTTTTATAAACTGCGATTCAATTCAGTCATCCAGGATACAAATTCTTAGGGACATTAGCACTGGTTATGTTGTAGTAAATGGATGTACAATCGTGCACTTGCCCTGGCCATAACCGAAGGAAAGATGACTGGCATAGTAACACTTTCA